ACCCAAAAAAAAAAATTATAGGGGGCCCCCCCCAACCCCCCCCCACGGGTGTGGAAAAAAAACCCCCCTTTTGTTCAACCCCGGGGGGGGGGGGAGGGAAAAAATAAAAAATTTTTGGGCCACCCCCTGGTTTTTTTTGGGGGAGGGGGGAAAATATTTTTTGGGGGGGGGGAGACATTTCAAAAGGGGGGGGGGGGGGGGGGTTTTTTTGGGGCCACCTTTTTTTTCCAAATTTTTTAAAAAAAGGCCCCTTTTTTCGGGGGAAAAATTTAAAAGGGGTTTTTTTTTAAAAAAAAAGGGGGGGGGGGGGGGGGGGGGGGGGGGGCCCCCGGGGGGGGGGGGTTTAAAAAAAAGGGGGCCCCCCCGGGGGGGGGGGGGGGGGTTTTTTCCCCCCCCCCCCCCCCCCCCACCCCCCCCCGTCCTCCCTGAAAAAAGAAAATCCCCGCCCACATGACGGAAAGAAAAAACAAAACCCGAAAACAAGTGATTGGATACGAAAAACGATTGTACACCACACCAATAGTGCATCTTCTCCCCCCACTGTACGTTCGCCGCCAACAACCACGACAATCCCTTTAGTGGCTGATAGGAATCTCAACGTGGCCGGGCAATCTGACCGGCCCAAAACCGTACATGCCGTGAGCCACGCGGGAAGTTTCCAATTGTAACAAACCCGCTGCACGGGATTCTACCAGAAAGCGGCAGCAACTGCTGCTGCTGTCTGCACGCCGCAGCTGTTACACGAAAGACAACCCCGCCGACGCGTGCTTAGCAAAACAATAGAAGCGCGGCCAGACAGGCCAATTAATTGATGGTTAGCTGGCATTTTCTCAACAGCTGCCGTGGTCGGAGATCAAAAGACGCATCAGTTGCGCTTGGTCTGGGGGGGGGGAAGTGTCCGGAGCAGCCAGGCACACACGTAACGTGGGTGGTCCGTTCTCACACACGACGCCGAGAAACCGGAAGACAAGAAACAAGAATTCAAAAGACAGGATGATGCGCAAGAAGAGAAAAAAGAGTCATGTGAAAAATTGACTTACAAAAAAAAAATCCAGCACGCGCTACATGTGTATATAGGTCTCACCAAACTGGACCTGGCTACTACTGCTGCACTGCACTGCACTGCTGCACAGTCGAGTGATCTGAACTGGCCCGGGGCAATCGCACACACCACCACGCACCTTCGTGCGGGGCATTTCTAAAAAACTCTACGGGAGAGAGGGGGGGGGGGGGGGGGGGGGGTAAAAAAACCAAGGGGAAAAAAAATATTTAAAAATTAAAAAAAACCCCTCCCCCCCCGGAATTTTTGTTCCTCCAAAAAATTTTTTTTTTTTCCCTTTTTTAAAAAAAAAAAAAAAAAAAGGGGGGATTTGGGGGGCCAATAAAAACATTTCCCCCAACCCCAAAAAAACCAACCCCTTGAGGCCCTTTAGGGGGGTTTTTTTGGGTAAAAAGGGAAATTTCCCCAGGGGGTCCTAAACAATTAAAAGGTGGTTTAAACCACCGGGACTTCCCCCCCTCCCCAACCCCCCCTTTTAAAAAAAAAAAAGGAACCCCCCCCCGCGGCCGGG